TGCGTTCTTGACTTTTGGATTGAAAGATGACAAAATGAATTAACAAATACCTGGGCTAAATCATAGTTCAAATTTTACTTGTCCTCTACCAGATTTATCTTGCTACTAACTTGGACATAGTTTTTGAAATCAGTATGATTTTAATTTTTGGCATCGCAATTGCTATTAGTAATGTGTTTAAGAGTGCAAAAGACAGGTTACTTCCGAAGTCGCATCAAAAGAGTATTGATCTGCCAGTGATGGCACTAGAAAGCTTTACAATATGGACAAAATTGGAAACCTTAAAATCTTGAATTATCTAAACTTGAAAGATCGAATTCATTTGCGCCACAGCTTCATTTATCCGAGGAAGGGTGGCTTGTTTGCATATTATTATTATTATTATTATTATTATTATTATTATTATTATTATTATCATTATTATTATTATTATTATTATTATTATTATTATCCACAATACTTTCACCAGTAGGGCATATTATAAATTGTGTCTACTCTTTATCACTTTAAGTATTTTCTGTGTGTTCGTCGGGTGAGGGCCGCAACTGAGGAAATTCATATCCTTAAGGGAAAGAGGACGAATTAAGAAGCGCATGTCACCATAAACCCAGCTGTGTGATCGATAAGAAAATATGAATCAGATATGGCATGTTTAGAACATATAAAGTACATCAACATTTTTCAAAAGATCACAGTGGGGAAATGATACAGGGAATATGTGACAATGATCATGGTTTCACCTTTGAATGCGTTGTGATATATCNTGCGACATAAAAGTATTTCTTGCCTCTCTGATTGTCTGCAGCGTCGTCCTTTATAGTATATCCTCTATTTAGCACTTTTTCATTTGAGATTTGGGAAATGATTATGATAAGTGGCAATTAGATTTATGATCAACAGTATTACAATATAGTACTCTTGGACTTAACATAATCATTTCCCATCCTTATGCCAAAATGTCTCTGTGAAAGTTGTCTTCCTGCAACATTTTATATTTGCCGAAAGCAATAAGGTTATTTCTATATCTCTATAGGGCCGTTCTGAATGAGCTAGGTTTCACTAGCTTGTGCTTACTAACTCATCAAGGACTCTCACTGAATGTAATCAGATTAAGGGACTAAAACGACTCATCTTGTCACTGCGTACTCGTATAATCACCAGCTTTTCTATATTCTATTCAACGATAATATGAGGCGTGTTAATTTGAATCAGTTAAGCTGACTACATTCAGCAAGAGTCCCCGTGAAGTTAGTGTGCATTAGCTACTACTACCTAACTTGTTCAGAAAGACCCCTTCCCTAACCCCCACCCCTCCGCAAAACCCTAGACACCCCCTCACTGTACTAAGGTGTTACGTCACTCTTAGCGTGACCAGTTCCCATTTACCCAGATAGATTATTAATAAGGCACACGGGGCTGTCGCTTATGGTATCTTCGACATGTAATGCGACATTGCTCAGTTAAGTTACACGTGTTACGAGCTCGGTGGACTTAACAGGGTAGCAGAGCAAGTGTCTCAAATTTTACCTGGGATAAATCAACTGAGGACGCAGGTTTCACCTGGGATACATCAACTAAGGACAATTTGTTCACAAAGTGAGTAGTTAGGTTTGTCAATAACACGGTATATATGTACAGATTGAGGCATTTATATTTTATTTATAAAGGCGAAATATGGTTTGTTTTAAACCAATTTATTTATAAACGTGGAGTACCAGGCGTTTAAAGGCGTGTGTGTTTTACTTTTGGATCGAAAAATGAGAGAGCTCAAAACGAATCCACAAATACCTGAGCTGCATCACAATTCAAATTTTACTTGTCCTCGACCGGATTTATCTTGCTCCTAAATTGGACATTTTTGAAATCAGAATGATTTAAATTTTCAGCATCGCAATTGCTACTAGTAATGTATTTTAGATTGCAAAGGACAGATTGTTTCCAAAGTCGCATTGAAACGTTTAAGGGTACCGAACTAATTGCACAAGAAAGCTTTATAGTCTGGACAAAATTGGAAACCTTGAAATCTTGAATTATATAAACCTAAAAGATCGAATTCATTTGCGCCACAGCTTCATGTATCCGAGGACGGGTGGCTTGTTTGCATATTATTATTACTATTATTATTATTATTATTCACAATACTTTGACCAGTAGGGCACATTATAAATTTTGGCTCCTCTTTATAACTTTAAGTATTTTCTATGTGTTCGTCGGGTGAGGGCCGCAACTGAGGAAATTCATATCCCTAAGGGAAAGAGGACGAATTAAGAAGCGCATGTCACCATAAACCCAGCTGTGTGATCGATAAGAAAATGTGAATCAGATATGGCATGTTTAGAACATATAAAGTACATCAACATTTTTCAACAGATCACAGTGGGGAAATGATACAGGGAATATGTGACAATGATCAAGGTTTCATATTTGAGTGCGTTGTGATTTATCAACAGAGATTGGGAAGTTAATTTTCATTGAAAAATTAAAACAAATAAGATTAAAACAAATGAAATACAATAATATAAAACATGGCGTGAGAATAAGAAATCAATAAAATTAATGAAAAATGAGGCCTTCCTTTGAATAAATTACTGTCTATGCTTAAGTAGCTCAATCCGTGCCAATATTTCGGCTACTTTATCTTTAATATTCCTACAGTACTCCTAGGCAGGGCTGTGTAGGCAGGGCTGGGGGGTTATCTTGGCTTTGTTCCTGTGACTAGTCTGTTTGGTTAACATTGCTCACGCCTGGTTTAATAAAAATGGGCCCTGTTTTGCCGCCAGCTTTCCCATGCTGCACCAACTAATTGACCAGATAGTAATCTCCTCTCACAGCTGATTCAGTGGCGATTCCTCGGGCAGTGATTTACCACTAAGATAAGAACTAATGTCGTTTGTATCTTGACTCCGGTGTTAGAGTGTCGAGCAGGGCGGATCCCGCGGAGGTTGTAGAAAGTGTCACGTCGTAGAATAAGGTAAAGTTTGTGTAGTTTTCGAGGAAAGAAATGGTTGACTTTTGAATGTCTGTCTTACGCTATAATGTTTGAGATCTTCTCCCGAAGTGTTAACGTTAACTTTACTTTACGTTTTCGCGAACTTTTCTTCAAAAATTTGGAGTAACAGAAAGGTGTTTTCCATCGAAAGTAAAATGAGAGAGAGAGAGAGAGAGAGAGAGAGGGGGGAGAAGCGGCTTTCAGAAAGAAAGAAATATATCGTTGATGGTCTCAAATAGATTGATTATCGTCTATAACTTGAGATCTATTTAGGTCCAAGTCTATAATAAGACGGGGAACGTATATGAAAGTGAACATCTGATATCTTTCATAAAGTACTGACTATGTTTAAATTGCTTCCTCTTTGTGATCAGCTTTCATGTAGCCATGATCTTATATGGCAGCAAACTGACGCCATAGGTAAAAATAATTTAAACAATACCTTATCCTATGACTGTGATAAATCATTGTACTAGGTTATGAATGATATGTTTTTATTAATTTATTTTTTGTTGTCATATCATAAACTCGTGTCACATTTACGTGTTATACTGAATAAATAGTACTTATATTTAGGTGTATCTTTCACGGTTTGTTTATTTTGTTGTTGTCAATCCATTTATGTTGTGACACAATATCAAAATAAGTCATATTTTATATGGGCAACCACTGTACTATGGTGTGAGTTAGTCGGGGACAATATCGTTTCCTTGGACTATCTGTTGCCTTGCGGGAAAATGAGCAGGATGAAGGGCGTGGCTGGCATAAATCTCAATCGAAAGAAAGGAAACTAGACTTTGAAGTGACAATTATTTCATATATTTGATAGTTATTATCGTATCATCATGTGTAGTTTTAGCACAATTATTTGTTATAGGATGTGAAATTTTGATTTTTATCTGAACAGAATAATTTGAAGTCAGCTGCACGTGATACAATTCGAACAATGTTAAATACGTGGAATTGACACGTTTAACGTGTCGCGAAGGTAGATGATCAACAACAGCATGATTATGATGATATCAAGACTGAAATGCATTCTTGATGATATCAATAATAATTTGTTTTGAATATATTGTACTAGAAAAAATCCCATCTACATCAACACCCGGGTAAACAAATTCTACTGTGCGCATGATGTTTTACTAAGATGATGTTGTACTGTGTATCACTATGGAGATTTGAATGGAAATACCCAGAGTAGAAGGTGCCTCAACACACTACTGTACATGTACATTATGCATCATTTGCATGTAAAGACAAGATGTGCATTACACATAATTTGTCCAGGGAGTGAGTACATATCTTGGCTTTCCTTGCCCCAAACTAGCCAATAAACTATGGTCCAATCACTGTGATATTGAGTGTCCCGATATAAGTGACATGTAGTGAGCCTTTCGATCATGCTTTTTAATTCTGGTGTTTGAATCAGCGAGAGCGGATCTTTTCGAATGCTTTGCTGATACCCGTTAATAGCCCCAGTACCAAGGACAAATCAGTGGTCTTATAAAGGGGTGGGATAGCGGCACATTTACGTCTGCATCCTGACGTTTCTCTTGCAACAATATAATTACTCTCTAACCAATGTCCGCTAGTAGTCTGTTACAAAATTGCTGTCGCTGACACTTTACTTTTATAATCTATTTTAGGAGCTACTGATATCAGATTGTACTATATAATATATCCTTTTTAAAACAATAGGTTATCTAATTTAAGTAGCCTACTACGTGTATATAAAAAAGTATAGGACTCAGTCGGGCTTGTGATAGTGTGTAGGGAGGGGTGTTGGGGTGATAGAAACCCGCCAGCCCCTTACCCTTATTTGATCCAGCAGATCTCGTTTATATAACTATATATTTGTATTCAACCATATATTTTAATGTTATTATGTTATTATTCCAGTCCAGCATGGGTACTGTGGTAGACCCCGCCTTCAGGAATGTCCCTGGTTTATATAACTATATATTTATATATAACCATATATTTTAATGTTATTATGTTATTATTCCAGTCCAGCATGGGTACTGTGGTAGACCCCGCCTTCAGGAATGTCCCTAAGGATGAGCCGTGCCTCAGGATATGGCGGATAGAGGTAGGTTTCTAGAACAGGAAAGAAGTCGACGAGATTTTACTTTGGCAAAGTTCTATCTTTCGAAAATGGAGACAAAATAATAAAACGCTGAAGTCACATTTACATAGTTCTCCATATACGACAGACAGGCAATGAATATCTTAGTCATAATTAATGACTTCTAGTATACTGATAGACTTATATACACTATTGTTTTTTTTTTACTTATCAGATCTGTACATTTTCAACTGATTCATTGGTCTAAGCACTTTTGTTAAATATTATGAATGATGTGGATGACAGTGTCACGTAAATTTGTAATATTTTAGAGTTACGAACCAACCATTTTTACCATCATTTTCACAAGTCTACATCTTGTACGCTAGGGGAGGAGGTTGTGCCCTCTGTACGCTTTTGAAAAAATAATAAAAAAATGATGATCTTCACCCCAAGGGTTAAGCTGGCAAAAGTCATCATTTTTAATTTTCCACTTTTTATTCTCTGAAGAAGGGAGGGTGTCTTGAAAAAGAGTTTGGTGAAAATGATGATAAAATGGAAAATCCCTTAATTGTATCTGTGTGTGAGGAAAAATGAGACGCCCAAACTTTATTTTATATATCTCTGTATAATTGACTTAATTATTCAGGGATTGTTCGGAGAAATAATTGAATTAGGAGACGAGTAAACTTATTGCATGTAATGTAATAATTATATTCTTTTTTCATCCAGAAATTGAAAGTGGTGGCTATCTCAGAGAAAGAATATGGCAACTTCTTCACCGGTGATTCCTACATTGTATATCAGGTAAGCAAAACATCCTCTCAGGTATTGGCACTAAACTTAACGCGTCCCTCTCTGTCACGGATTTTTTCAAACCAGGGTCCATGTTTGGTAGGCCCTAGCAACGAGAAATCTAAAGCTTGCTCCTCGTGGTTAAACCCAAAATAGGGATCTTTAAAAACAAACAGTAATGATTTTATATACCTATGTATTTTTAATTGTTGGACATTTAACTCAAAACAATTTTAGAGTTCTAGATTTTTATTTTTATTAGCCGCCACTAATCGAAAAGACCTGTCACTTTCTCCAAGACGAGAATGACTCTAAATCCATAAAATTGAAACATAAAAACGGGTTCTTGGATCGTGACTCTGTGAACGATATTGCAGATAGTATGTCTGGTTAAGAGGAAAGCGATGACATCCGAAGCAATGTAGCATTTGTTATATAAAGGCCTAACTCTCATTGTGTGGCTGAAAGGCGTGTTGAGTTATTGACTTCACCAAGATCTAAACATCCATAACAGATGCGCCATTCTTGTTCGTACAATCCTTTATTAAATACTGGGAGCAAATGCTACGCAAGTATTCAAAAATAACGTCTCTGTGTTTCGTAATTATAGTTGACAAGGGTCCGGAGAGATAAAGGTGACACAATATGGAGTTGTGTCCTCTGGATTATACTTTGCATTCAATTACCTGTTGTCGACACCTCACCTATCAAGATTCATATCTGCCTTGTCTGTAGCCCAGAAACTCATTAAATATCAATTAGCGCTCTGGTTAGCATAATCGAATCAGAATACGGTTAATTAAGTCACCAAAATTAGATGTTTGGTAGAATGGACCTATGATTATGTCACATATTATGGTACGTGACACGACAGGCTCTGTTACTGTCTTATTTACTATCTCCAACACTAATGGGCTAGTTTTAATACATGGTCTGTATCCATTTAACTAACCACCTGAGGTTAAGAGACGTAGATACAATTGTATTGTTTGTGTATTGTTTCACAGTTAGCCCTAGCTTGAATTTTTTCTTTTGAATAAAATTTGTTTTTATTTGCTTGTAAGGAACTTTGGTCCTCTTCGTTTATTTATTTATTTTTTGTTTGTTTATTTACCTTAATCTTAATTATTTCCGTACTTGCACATTTATTTTCTTTTCCAAGTTTTTCCATGTTATTTATTTATTTATTTATTTATTTATTTTTCAGTCCAAGCTTGTCCAGGGTCGTATTGAGATGCACATTCACTTCTGGCTGGGTGAGGAGAGCACGCAGGTAAGAAAGCAACAGACTCAGGTAGAAAACATGGGTCGAGGTCACCTGAAAACCAACGACGGAAAGTGGTCTGTACTTTTAGACCAAATAGTCTAAATGCACCTAACTAGTACTAGGCAGAAAACGTAACAGGCTTTTCGTTTTCTCTAGTAGTGAATTATTTTGTAATTTAAAGAAAGAAATATAAAGAAGTACTACAATATTGAAATAAAACAGAAAGTTAATAAAATTAGTTTATTTAGTATCACAATTTATTATAGAGTGAGATACTATTAAGATCATACGAGTCCTTTTCAGGATGAGATGGGCGTGGCAGCTTACAAGTCCGTGGAACTGGACGATAGTCTAGGTGGCGCTCCTATCCAACACAGGGAAACCCAGGGAAATGAATCCAAACAGTTTCTAGAAATATTCCGTCAGAAGGGTGGTGTGAGGTATGTAGGCCCTACTGTGCTAAAACTTTATTCACGTTTTCCAGATATTATTCTGCAATTTTCATAGAAATATCAAAACAAAATAAGAATTATAATAATAATCTCGCCCCGTTCAGTAGTAACTTAAGAATGTTTTCGTGCAACACGTTTATTTATTTGCGAATCTTACTACTACTATAGAGCATATGGTCCTAATTTTTGCGCAGGTATAAACAAGGGGGCGTGGCTTCCGGTTTCAATCACGTGGACAAGACGTTCAAACCATATCTACTGCAGATCAAAGGCAAACGTACAGCCAGGGTGAAGGAGGTGAGGGGGAACAGCCACAAACAATACAACGAAAAAATAAATAAGAAAGGAACAATGTTGTATCAATGTCTGTAGAAAGAAGCCCAATTATATTATTATTATTATTATTATTATTATTATTATTATTTTGAAGATCACTGCCTTTCAGAAAACCACGAAACTGACATAAAATGATTATAAAAAGCACTGCAAAAACAATATTCATTCACTTACCATGTTACATTTCAGCGCAACATTAGCTGGGACTCCATGAATGAAGGCGACGTCTTCATCCTGGACGTCGGCACCGTGTTGTTTGTATGGACTGGCAGAGATTCCAATAGGTTCGAGAAAATTAAGGTAGGCGGTTCGGGGAAAACGTGTGATTTTGATCCAAATTCGCAAAAAAAAAAGGAAGTCGTGCATGGTATCTGATTACATGTATGCATATTCATCTTCTTATTTATTTATTTATTTATTTATTTATTTATTCAGTTAGTTAGTTACTGATTTATCTCCGTCTTACTTACACTTTTTTATATTAGGGTTCACGTTTGTCCGTGTAATTTATTTATTTATTTATTTATTTATTTATTTATTTATTTATTTATTGTACTACCAGGGCATGGAGGTGGCCCGGCAGCTGCGTGATGAGAGAGGGAAAGGGGACATCGTGGCAGTAGCAGACGGCGAGGAGGAGAAACTGAATTTTGAATGGCTCAAAGTAAGACCAGATTCACAATTACAACTATATCTCGGTGATATAGGTTGTTCATTCTCTTTTTATTACTGATGGTAAACCACCAAATAGTTTCTATCCGTGTTTGCTACCTATGACATCATATAATAACGTAGCCTCGGAGCTTACCTCGAGGCGTTTGTAACGTGATGGAGCCCCTATGCTGATGGGAAGAAATGGGGTGTCTCATAGGCAGAAAAAAAAGCTCTTTTAAAACACAAGCAAAACTAGAGACCAAATTTTACTCTTATTCAGCTGTTATTTATTTGTGGGTGCTTATATTATTGTTTCTCTCCAGATATATTTGAATTACGGATAACATCGTTTTCACTTGATTCACCTGTTAACCTTGAGGGATGATTGTGATTGTTAATTTGTTATGTTATCCACCGCAATCTATATACACATTCGATATATTCTAGTGTACTTTTGAGCGCATTATCGACTTACCAGCCAGATGTTTTTCTTCTTTTTTAATCTCTGGATGTCATTTTGCCCAGGTATTTGAGAAGCATCTTCCACTTGACAAAAAACAGGTGAAATCTGCCGCAGAGGGTGGAGCAGACGAGGTCCATGAGAGAGCGTCCATGACCAAAATAAAGCTGTATCTGTAAGTAATCTTCATGATAATAATGATACTAGAAAAGTACTCCGAGAGCACAGACCTCCGCGAAGACAGCAAAGTATCCACCCAATGCCGTTTCACCCCTAAATTTTCATTGATTATTGATTGATTATTGATCCGGATCACCACCAAAAACTAAGCCTCTGTTCCTCGGCCCACTTCTGACAGTTCCTAAAAATTTCATCAAAATCGGTCCATAACTTTTTGCGTTATATGTTGATGACAGACAGACAGACAGACAGACAGACAAACAAACGGGGTGAAAACTTAACCTCCTTGGCGGAGGTAAACATACTATCCACCATTTAAACCCTAGAAGCTTATTCATTGTGATCTGTTTTTGCAAGGTTAACATACGCTCACTTGATTCATAAAATTACAACAATTGCAAGACTTACGCAAACAATATTTAATTGAATTTACTGAAATGTAAGTTTATAGCGAACTGACGAGGTCAATTAAGTAATTGATAAATAAATAATTGGTCAGCAGTCATGTAAATTGATTAATTAATGAATAACAATGCACTTTATGAAGCACAAAAAATCGAAACAGGGTTTCGGGTGAAACTTTAAAAAAAGCAAATACCTGATGGAAGGGACTTCATATGCTTTAAAGAATATAGACGAAACAGAAAAAAAAACGCCATGTGAATAATGGATTAATAATATCCTTATGAAATCGGTATTACAACACAAACACTTCCGCGAAGGAAATCGAGGTTTACTAGTATTTCTATATGCGTTGTCATAAGATAGCGTGCAGAATACCTTCCGTCTTATCATACTCAGCTGAAGACGCCGTGCTAAATGTTTTTTCTCGTGTCTACGGCAAATCAGCTGAGCACGCAAATTGTCCCCAAGTACCTGGCGTGAAACGTTTGATTGACAGAAGCTGTGGTTTGGTCAGTAATCATGCAATTTGGTCTTAGGAAGCCTCCTTATCGTTGTGTATTACGGGGCATATTATCTAATACGTGCAACATGACTTGTTTAATTCTAGTGTTTAGACGCGAATGCGGGTTTTATGTAATGTTTAAGAGCCGTTTGTACACTATGGTATTTTCAAAATTCTTCTGTGTTAAAATTCATGGCATGGCACTGTTTTGAATCGAACACACTGGCGCACTCAATTACTAACGCACGCACACACACACGCACGCACGCGCGCACACTGCACAAGCTCAGTCGAGCATTACACAAAAATGCATCTGTGGTAAGAAATTATGATTCTTCTTGATGTAAGAAGAGGTAAATATCTATTTCAATTTACTGTTATCAAAGGACAAATCAATTTCAATACATGTAAAACACGTGCCAGTGATCCTGCGCTTTTGGATACCTGAAAACAAAAAGACGGTTCACAATTGGGTCTTTATTACATTAGCATTATCATATACCATTCACGTTATAACTTGCTACACACTAAATTACACATTTCTTGGATTATTTCAGAGTAAAAGAAGAAAATGACCAACTGAATATCAAAGAACTAAAGGAGGGACCCCTGGTGAAGAGCGATTTAGACCCAGATGTAAGTGTTCCTAATCTTTACGAAAATCAAGTCATAACTGATTGTAAACCGTTGGTTGATATTCACGTGCAGTAAATTATTGAGTGGCAGAGCTGTATGACAAATGTTTTCAGTCGACGTCTTGTCTACCTCTTCTACTTTGTGTCATTAACATTATAATTGTCAATTAATTATTAGCCTACATATCCATCAGTGTAAAGTAGTTCCTAACTCCTGACCTTGGTCTACTAAATATGCCGTGTGCCACAGAGGTTTTAAATGTCTGTTGCACTCAGATATTTTGTTGGACCAACCCCTTAATGTTATGGAGTGGAGAACACTTTATTTTGCCATAAGCGACAGTTGCGCCATTCCTTACATCATACTCCTATCGGGTTTCGCTGTGCACCGCCACAGCTCAATAACACCACTTTAAAGTCATGTAATGGAACAAGGTTACCCCTCACTGGGAACGCCCCTTTCCTTTTGACTTTTGACACATTCGTTCTCCCATACGTCTCTGGCACTGTTTGTTAGAGAGAATGATCATTTCTGTGGGCGATACCGTGGTTGTAAAGCAAACCGTACCATGATGAAATTAATGGAATTATGTGTGAGCGCCATTTAAGCTTTGGCTGCGGCATCAACAAGGGTATCTTGAGTGTTAATCATTTTCCATGATACAAAAAGTCCTAAATAATAATAAGAATATTGAACCTTTAACGCTGAAATTAATCGTATATCCTTGACTTTTAATCTAACCATTGCTGAGGGTCATTTAAAGACGCTTGTGTTCGGCTTTGTGCGACTGATTGACAGGTTGAATAAAAATGGCGGGGTCAGAGGTTGATGGCTTTGAACGGAATACAAGTCCATTACCACAATGTGTGACCACACTATAGCAACATCTAATTTATCAGTTCCTATTCTGGACTTTTGATAGCTAATTTACGCATTTATTTGTTTTTATTATATATGGTTGTTTACATTTTCTATTCACGTGTATGACCTTTTTGTTGTTTCAGTTTTATTTATTTATTTATTTATTTTTCCATAGTGTTTTTTAAAATTCACCATCAAGAATCTAAACCCACAGACTTTAAACAGATCGTGTTAGACCAAGAAGTTATAAAGAGAAGGCCTTCTCTTTATAACTACTTGGTTAGACCAAGTTTCATACCTAATTTGAACCTTTACGTAATATCTACAATTAGACACGAGTTATTGACTTTCTTTCCCAGGATTCCTTCATCGTGGACAATGGCGAGGCCGGTATCTGGGTGTGGAACGGTAAACAGTCCTCCAAGAGGGAACGATCAGAGGCCATGACCAACGCCATGGTAAGACGCGCTGTTTAATGGTTACTTTACTTATTGGATAGTTCAATTAAGAGCATTTGTGCATTTTCTTATGTATTTCTCTTAAAACATGTATTTTACGCTTTCCTTCTTTCCGCGTTTTTTTTCCTACTTATCTTTTAAATTATTGTTTGAATCACTTATGAACTTTAAATGCTAATCCAATACACCTCTATAATGTATATAACACAAAATAATGTGATCCCTGCTAGATATAAACTATGAATATTCATCCCATTGAGTCACCTGAAGCAAATTGCTTTGTAAAATGTCTTGAATACACGCCAATTTGCGGATTGTGATGTTTAAACTCATCTAACACAATGCCTCTGTCTGTCTCCACCAGGCTTTCATCACTGAGAAGAAATATCCACAAAGCACTCGCGTCACCCGCGTTGTAGAAGGAGGCGAGCCAGTCATGTTTAAACAGCTGTTTAAGTCGTGGCCGGAACCCCAGGCAGACTTAAAGAGTACCACTGTCATAAATCAAATAGGTGAGGCATTAACGGTCATTTTTATACCTAGGTCTGTCCGCGTTAATTCAAAGTGTGTTACTGTTATGAAGTGTATGTTTGTATTTATCGTGGGAATTTACTATTGTGATCATCAATGCTTTGATATAAAAGAAAGGGAAATAAATAGAAATGATAAAAAAGGTGTTAATATGCTGAATGAAACGATCAGGCTAATGTTTAGAATCTTGTTTAGCTACATGTACCCTAGCTCACATTTTGAAGTATGAAATTTTGAAACAATTTTGAAACCAAGCCTATGAATATCAGCGAATCATCACATTTACACCACAATCTATATTTTGTCATTACAGCTAAAATAGAACAGACCAAATTTGACGCCTCCAGTCTGCACAATGGTAAGAAGAAGGAGACAAGAGACAAGAGTATGGTGGACGACGGCTCGGGGAAAGTGGAGGTACATTGCGATAGTTGAGATTTTTTTATTGTTCATTTTAGTAGTCACAACTAAAACATTTAAAATGTTTGCTTGGTATGCAAGTTATTTCACTGTAACAAAGGGTAAGATAATAATTGTTTTTTGTTTGCTTTTTTGTTTTGCTCGTTAAATTAATATATTTCAGGGAGGGAACAGAGGGTTCGAGGGAATACCTTGGAAATAAAGCCGTGGGTCCAACAACCCTACACACACACAAACGCGCACACACGCAAACGCGTGATCTGTCAAAGCAGAAATAATAAGTGTTAATGTTTTAATTCCATAAAAAAATATTTCAGGTATGGCGTATCGAAGGAAACGACATGGTGGCAGTGCCGAATTCTCAGCTGGGACGCTTCTTCGGAGGTGACTGTTACGTCATTCTCTATACGTACGGCGACGAGAAACACATTATATATTTCTGGCTGGTAAGTGTGATTCAGGGAGAAGACGTGATGCGGTATTTTCAGAACTCTTTTCCTACAAATGTTAAATTTTCTAATCATGCTAGTTGAAGTATATGGGAAAATCTGAAATATAATAACAATTAATGGTACAGATGAACGGTATACTCTGTTTGTAGAAATTTGCCTAATTTATACTTAGATAAGATTACCAGTTTTATTTGATGCCATTTTATCCCTTTTCCTTTTAATATTATTATAATTATTATTATTATTAGGGTAATAAATCAGCGCTAGCCGAGCAGGGGGCCTCTGCCATCCGTTCAGTCCACCTGGACGACAAATTTGGCGGTGAACCGGTGCAGGTGCGAGTTGTGCAGGGGAAGGAGCCGCCACACTTCATGGCCGTGTTCAAGGGCAAGATTATCATTTTCGAGGTATGGTTCTTTGTCTCCCATTAAGTTTTTCAATATTTACTTTTCAAGATGCACCTTTGTTCTGTCTCGGGAACTTGAGGGCCCATGTTAAAGTCCATCTTCTATTAGGTTCGCACAGGTCGGAGTTTGGGTGACGTTAGTTGGTCCAAACTCGTGTGAGTCAGAAATAACCGGACTCTCTTTAATGGGGACCAGTTTCTAAAATTTACTCATTTATCCACTTTCATTCATTTATTATCATTACATTACTGAAGTTTTTGTTAACACTGCCAACTATTCTCACCGCGAGTCATCTGAGTATGCTTCTGCGTATCCTTTACTTAATATATATAAATTACTTAGATTTAATTTTTCTTTAATTTTTGCATATATGTATTCTATTTGCGTAAGCATATATTTATCTTTCACCTGTATGAGATGGCTAATGTAAATATTCTAGTGAGATTATTCCTCGGAGAAGAGTTTGTTTTAATCATTACATATTTACTGGCTTTTAGGGTGGCTCTGCCCGAGAAGTAGGGGACTATAACAAGGTAGCCCCGGGAAGTTCCTTCCTGCTACAAGTGCGCAGCACTAACGAGGACAATGTGAAAGCCGTAGAAGTAAGTAAAATAAATTACCCCAAAAGTGCAAACGGAAAAGTAACTCAGCTTTTCTCCAAATTTTCCATTGGTTAATGCCGTCCATTAGTTAAAATTATGTCTCTAACGAGGACAATGTGAAAGCCGTAGAAGTGAAATAGATTATCAAAATAAAAAAAAATGAAAAAGTAACTTGGAGAGCTATTTCCAAATTTTGATTTGATTAATGCCGTCTGTCAGTTCTTAAACATGTGTCTCTTTTCTTTTAGGTACCTTGCAGAGCCGCATCACTTAATTCAAATGATGTATTCATACTTTACAAAAATGAATCCCTGATCCTCTGGTGTGGACGAGTAAGTACTACTTAAATGGTTATAAACACCCTTTACTGCATATAAGATAAGATAAATATAGCAAATTAAACCGGAACCAAAACGTCGGCAAAAACGCCAGATACCAGAGTAAAATGATTACTTCTATTTATCTAGCAAATATATTTCCGTTAAATTCCATGCATTTTCTAATTTTTGTATCCGTAAATGTCATGTATTTTGTTATCCAGCTTGCATGACTGAAGTTCATGTATGTTCAAATGTATTTTACAGGGTAGCAATGCTAGCGAAAACAGAGTCGCAAAACAGATTGCTCGGTCGCTTACATCAAAGTGAGTAGCAAAAAGTAATAATTGTGATGTAATGAAGACGTGCGTATAAGTAAATATTTGTTTTTGCTATTTTTATGTCTTATTAGGTTAGCCAATTATCTGTTTATTATTGACATATATTTTCATGAAGTAGGATCGACAACATATCAATGTCATTATATTGAAAACGGTTACTAAATAAAACAATAACTATATTCTTCCTATTCTGACTCCAGACCACCAACAATACTGAACGAAGGCAATGAAAGTGATGTTTTCTGGAAGGCAGTGGGTGGAAGAGAGAGCTACGCAAGCGACAGGAGGTTACAGGTACCTTTATTGAGTCGTCATCTTTCTCTTTATCTATCACTCACCCCCCCCCCCCCTCTCTCTATCTCTCTCTCTCTCACTCACTTTCTTATTCTGTCCTCACTTCGTCACTTTCTCTCCCCCATCTCCGTAAATAAAAAAGTAAAATTTTATGAGAGCAGATATGCCTTAATACTTAGGGAGCGGAATTAGATAAAATATTTTAAAAGAGGTAGATTGGAAGTACCTCAATATTTAGTGAAGGAGCACCCAATCACTCCCCCCCCCCCCTCGGATCCCTCAGTGACGCGGCCAAACAATCCTAGTTCTATTGTCGATTGAAATCTCATCTATAATTTATATTTTTAATTTATTTATTTATTTCCAGGAGGAGGCTCCTCCCAGAGAGCCGCGTCTATTCCAGTGTTCCAACGCCTCAGGGAAGTTCCTGGTGGAGGACATCCCAGATTTTATTCAGGTGAGGCATAATTTACTGCGCCGTGTTAAAAATATTTCTTTTTAGTTTTTGAAATGATAATGATAATTAAAATCCACTGGGCATAATAACATGCGTACTGCTTCGTGAATGTAGAATATTATCCCATGGTTAAGTTGTTCCTAGTTGGGTCCCATTATATGTCCCATGGTATAAAGTAGAACAGTGGTGCTGGCGGACCTTGAGGTTGTTTAGGCAAGTAGCCGAATTCAGATGATAACTTTAAAAAAAAAGCGAAATTAGTGATTTTATGACTATCGTTTAGTTGATCAGGTGTATTATTTCTATTTTTTCGACCTACAGCAAGATTTAGTCCCAGATGATGTGATGATTTTGGACACCTTCGACACCATCTTTATTTGGATTGGGGAAGGCGCCAATAAACAGGAAAAAGAACTGGCCATGCAAACAGCTGTGGTACGTGCTATGAAAACTTCGTTTTCTTTCATCTTTTTTATCTCATTTATTTATCCACTTATATGTCATCGTCGCCATAAACGTGACTGTTTTTAGTCTTGAATGTCTTAATATACAATCACACCCTCAGAGTAAATTGAAAAATATTATTTTGTCTCCGGTTTAAGTCGTTAATCTTAATTAGTTAAAGAAGTTTTAACTCTTGCCCTACATTATCAGTCGTTCACGAACGGTCCTATCTTAATGAATCTTAATTTTTTTCATCTTTGTACAGGAATATATAAAGACAGACCCCGCGGGTCGCGACCCTGACACGCCGATTGCTATGGTGAAACAAGGCTTTGAGCCGCCGAACTTCACCGGGTTCTTTGGAGTGTGGGATAGACAGTATTGGAGTGTGAGTAGGGCAGTGCACGCACCAATGCATTAACACGCACACTTCACCCGAATTTTTTGAGTAGGCAGTGCACTCTCCAATACATAAACACTCTCTCACACTGTCTCACTCTCTCTGTCTCTCTCTCTCTCACACACACACACACACATGTAGGGGTATGGTAAGTCAGCTATGACGTCCATTCATTTTCACATGCTTACAGACTTTCCGTATTCGGTTTTACGACACTTTTTTGTCTGAATATGTAAGGTTAAGCATGAAACTGCAGCGTCCTAGAACACATTCCGTTATTCCGTTAAAATCCCAAACCAAAGTTGTGCCTGCATTGAAGCTGTACACTTCTTCCAACCTGGACGATACAGTCTATGTATCGTGAATAAATCTAAACTTCCCTGTATGTTTGTATCATTTTAGAAAGGAAAGACGTTTGAAGAGATGAAGGAAGAGCTTGGCGAGAGCAGTGTAGAAGTAGAGATTGTTGACAAGGTAACGATAATGTTTTGTGTCACGTCAAAAATGATTTTGACAAAGACATTTACATACATGTAAATTTGGCGATACTTATTGTAGATTGTATAGTTGTCGTATAGTCATGAGAAAAGGGTCATATTTAGTTCAGGACCACATCCTGATAAAATGCTGGGTAGAGGTCCGACCTACAAAATATTTTAGCTATTTTTACCACCTGAGGGGAAACCTAACCGGGTTCAATGGGATACATAACAACTTACAGAAATTATCTTTTCGGTATATTGGAGCTTGCAATCTTCACTGAAACTCACACTCTCTTTCCCGTTTCCAGGCTAAGATTGGAGTAGAAGCCAGTTTCTCAAATGTACAAAAGTATGCCGCTGATATTCTTAGGCGAAAGCCTGATATGGGACTTCCGGCGGATGTTGACCCATTGCACAAAGAGGTAAATAATGACGTCATTTCCGACGTGATGTCGTTGGAGGTGTCTTTCTTCTCTCTCTCTCTCTCTCTCTCTCTTTTGTCGTGTTTTATTTCCCTGCCATTCAAAATATTTCAGTCATAAATGTTTGAACACTTAAGCTTTATTTAAACATTAAAATTATTGATTAAAAATATTATTTCATATTTTTTTATCTTCACTGACCAAGAGGCGAGGAAAGACCCGTTTGACTGTCTTAAATATTCGGTTTCTCAAAATGGCTGCACATTTCTCTTCTTTCAATTTTAGATGCATCTCGTCCCAGAGGAGTTTAAGTTGTTGTTTGGAATGACCTATGAAGAGTTTCAGAAGCTTCCAAAATGGAAACAGTTGGCTTTTAAAAAGAAAACGGATCTTTTCTAAGACTTAGATATTCCAGCAAACGAAGACATCACCTTTCTGTTGATTCCAAAATGGATATATCCGACTTACTTTTAACAGTATTGACTAAAGGAATATAAGGAGCATGATATGCTTGTGATATTACTATCTACTTGTCACAAAATGATTGCGATGACTCCGTTAAAATGAATACCGTCATCTCACCAACTTGCTGAACTTAAATGAGCAGGCTGCGTTGCGTTTCTTTCAAAGCAGTTGGACATTGTTTTATTTATAAAATTTGCCTCAGATTGTAGCGCCGTCTTGGTAGGACTGCTATAAAAGCGGCGTATGTCTTTTTTTAACTTGTACAATACTCAACGGCCAACTTTGCCAATACATACGCCTTACTTGTAGAAAGAAAGGAAATCGACGTGATATTTGAAGGGACAACTTTTACTGTTCTTTTACTAGACTTTCCTCAAGGTATTGATTATATATTTAGTTTAGGTAAAAATAATAGTGAATGGTAATTTCCGAAGAGAAAGATTCAATTATTGATCCATATACTATAAACGATCATGTGCTGTTAATAATGTGTTCTGACAGGTAGTTTTGCTAAATTTAACCAGAAGTGAATCTCAGATTATCACTACCTACAGATTTACTGCATCTCAGTGTAATGAGGAGAGAAATTAAAACCTTTTCTGTTTTAGTAATGGAGAAGCATGATTTACGTTAGTTGTATTAGTTTAGGTATAATGTAGTTATAGATATCATTATTGACAGACTGGCTGTATTTTAAGTGAATGGTGCATTTACACGTTATTAAAAGTATTGTACAAAAGAAAATATTTATATGCATAAAACAACTGCCCTTTTATGTGAAAGGAAATAAAAAAGCATAGAAAAAAAGCTGTTCAAGCTCCATCTTCATCCGTTTTCTTTTTCTTTTCTGTAAACATAATACTTCTTTATAAACCCTTGCACCTTTTGCCTTCTTTTCACTCTAGATTACGCAACGAAATATCTGAACACCATGTAAAAGGCTTACTTTCCTCATTGTTATACTTGGGACTCCACATCAAACCCAAGACAAGCCTACTCAAGACAGAGCTGGGTTGGTGACATTATTACGGTACGTGTTTTATACTAATCTATTGGAAAAAATAGAAGGCCCTCTGAAACATTTAATTAAAGTAATCAAAAACACGCGTGGCCTCTATGTAGCAGTTAACAAACAAATAAACATATTAGCAAATAAATGAATGAATTAATTAATAATTTGCATTTGATGCTTTCATGGAGGTAAGGTGACATACTGTTCCCCTTATGTCTGTACATGGGCATTGCAGCTGTATTTCCCCTCACTTTTAACAGCTGACCTACATAATAATCAATCCGACTAGGCTGAATGAATAGATGAGGGAAGATTTCTAACACCTAGGACCTACTTGACACGGGGAAATAGCAACAAGGCAATGGGAGTTAAGTTCAAAATATTCGTGCTGTCACTCTCTGTTGTGGTGGTTGCGTATATCGCAACATCACACATGGAAACATTTGACCCCGGTAAGTACAAGTAACACGTTGACTGAACCCAAAGTTTATAGTTGATGAACGAGAACAGATTAACTTACCATTCATTCAATTTATTGAATTCTGCAACAGTCTGGGTCACCAAGTGTGGCATTGGGCAATGTCGTCCATATTACCAGCACTACCATGACCTAGTACATTTTCACACGTTTCGTCCCTAACATGCCAAGTGCCCAGCAAAGAAATTATAAGTGCTATTTTAAACTGAGTGCAACAGCAGATACGGGTTACATGAACTAGTAGCAAAGTGCAACGGGAACAAAAAATACCCAGCACGTCTCTCATCCCCATTCGGACTGGAGCAAGCTCTAAAGTAAACAAAAGAAGTCAACGTCTAGTCAGCTGCAAAATGCCTATATTGGGGCAGTTACAGCAAGTGCTTTAAGAAAGTCATGTTACGAGTTTACAGGTCACTGATAAAGTATTTCATACTTGTACATTTACATTACGTGCGCTGAATGCAATGTCACAGTCTATTACGATAAGGTGATTCACCCGGCAGTCACCTCGATGTCCTTAATAACCTGTTAGCCACGTGAACCCAAAACGTTAAAGGTGTACCGTGGGCCATGGCCAAGAGATTTTTACTTGATGTATAAAGATGTTTCTCTTTCTACTAGCTGTGCAGATTCTAATCGTCATAGATCTGCATGTAGATCTTCATTTCTATATTGTCAAATAAATATATTAATTAATTGATAAATTAATTAAGGGGTACAATTCTGCGTAACTATTATTATCTTTTTTTTTTCTAATGATACATGTAGACAGGTGAATGGTTTTTTAATGTTCTCTTCTTGCTTTTCTTCCGAATTACATTTTATTGTTAGTATCTATATCTATAGTGGAGAAGAGGAGAGTGCTTACGATGAGTGGCTATTTTCATTATAGTTGAAGCTTGTTCAATTCCCTTACGAAAATTTCCTATAGGAACCTATAGGATTCCTATAGGATCCTGTAGGATCCTATAGGAAATCTTATAGGATCCTATAGGGCACCTTTCCTATAGGATTTCCTATAGGATCCTATAGGAAATTATTGTAAGTTAAAATCTTGAGAAAAATGCATAGCTTATAAACAAATATCATTCTAAACAATAGATATTTGATATAAGTCAATCTTATCAGTTGAATTGTCAATTATATATCACTATTAAAGCAAAAATGCTTTTTATTGTCTGTAATGCACAATCTTATAGTCTTCTATAGGATTCTATAGAAAAATTCTTTAATTTATATTTTAAAGAAATCTTGAAAAATTGATCATTTGTAAAGTAATCTTCTATGGAGAAATATTTTATCATAAGGAATGANTAAACAGTTACTCTGGCGGCTCTCCATCCTTGCTATGAATCTGACATCGAGTTTAGTCCAAAATATTAGTAAATTCAGAATTATTAGCTAAAACGTAAATTGCCCTTATTTGTCAGATAATCAAAAATGCCGGTGATCCACGCAGAGGGTACGCTTTCCTGAAGGTAGCGGCGACGAACGGCGACGATATTTTTCTGAATAGTGAACCTTTATTAGTTAAGAAAAGCCCCCTTTTCAACAGGCTCGTTTTATTAATTACTTCATGTCACAAAGTTAATTTATACAGGCAAAACTGTATTCAAGGAAATAGTTTCACGAAATGAACGAGAGTAAAATATAAGTCGGCACAAATATAAGGCATACAACAATGAGTCATGTTATGGATCATGTTATGGGCCATGTCGGATTATAATGGCATACCTTGATGCAAAACAGTCTATCGTTTCTTCCACCACGAGTCCCTTTATTTAATGTAATGTATTACTCATTACCCGTTTCATTTGACACTCTCTCTTTTTATCTCCCTTCCCCTTTCTCTTGTTAGAAGGAGGGTAAATAATTAAGCACTCAAAATCTGCACCACCAATCTTCAGAAAAACATAAGTCAACGAACCAGTGGGCTGATCCACAACATCCGAGACAGCAGAATGAATCAAATAACAGCTAGCACAAATTTATATGCAGTTAGCTATAGTGTCACTACATACATAATCAGCTGCACGCGCGAAGCTGTTGAACAAAAGGATAGTTCGCTACGGGAGACCGTTTGGCTACCCAGGCGACCAGGGGATTAGGCTAGTTACTATATGCCGTCAACAATCGTTTAGCGACCCTATAATTATACACTCTCTCTATTGTATTTTCCACCGCATTAATCGCAGTGTAATCTTCAAATGGTCCACGGGGTAAATGTACACATTCTTAATCCTAGTACGGTACAAGCTGTGGTCGACGGAGTGTGTCGATACCGCATTGCATACCGCTGTAGAAAACGTCCAGCTTATATAGCAGCTGGACGCAAAAACTGCTCAGTTACGGTGTTGAATGCGTTCACTATTGGCCGAGTTCATTAAGTAGGGAAGTTGAGTAACTGTCGCTGACAAAAAGGTTATGAAATAAATGGAATATCTTGTTCTTATAGCTCCCCATGCAGGGTTACATAGAGGGAAAAGGCATTGTACGTGAATCAACATTTTTATCTAATTTAAAGGGGTTTTAAATTATCTTGGGTCATCTGAAATGCTGGTATAATAGTTAGGTAATTAATTGAAGAGCAATATTGCTATATACCGGTGCATGTAAAATTTTATAGTTATTCTACCTATTCTGCAGCAGGGAATGTTTATCTCAGCTCAGTTTTTTCCCTCAATGTTATCCTCATTAACTTTTGACTGCGGGTAGTTATAATAATTTGGAAGGGAAACATTCTTTGACAATTTAGTTCAATTTATTTCTCTACTGGTACAAAGTTTATCATGTCCTTGTACAATATAACATAATATAATTACAAATGGTGCATTACCATTCTGTAACTGGTATTTGCGTTGTCAGTTTGTGACTAAAAAACATGTGACTGAAAGGAAAACATGTAAATCTTCACATGGACTAGTTAAGTGAAATTACGAAATGTTTAAGCTGAGCAATTACAACTTCTTCCTGCAGTTAGACACAACTTCTAGGTGTATTTATAAATTTATTATACACACAAATCATGAAGCATATGGCTACAATTATACATTACACAATATGGAGTGATTCAAATTTACATGGAAGGGAGGAAGAACTACAATTACTAGGTAAATAAATGATATAAATATTGTGTCATTTTTTATTCAAAGTGCAGAGTCACTGTTCACAACACCACAGCCACACACTAATATTTTTTAACAAGGGATGTAATGGAAATAACCATGAAGAGCAATTCCTTATTTTTTAAAACTGATTTAATAATAAAATTGGAAAGGTAGGCTAAATTATCCTTGTTCACAATGTTAAACACTTTGCATAAATTAACCTTGATCAATTTCCTTATGAAACGTTGCTTTCTACCTTTAATTGAAATTATTTGACTTGTGACTCTTTGTCATGAGAAATTTTCATATAAAATATTATTTTAGGTGAGAAAAGGAATGTGCAATGGACCACAGTATTGGAGAAGTATTTCTTAATAATACCTTTAAAACGTCATAATATTAATTCAATCAGCTAATCTCATTATCTCTTTCTTGAGGCATTTTTGATAAAATTCACTCATTAGGAACTTAGAATATGTATGTAGCTTTACATGTACATATCCAGTGCACCGTCCAAGTCACCCATCTGATCCAGTGTGTATGCTATCTGATGTAGAGTAGAGGCAGTGTCAACGTGATCTCCAAGTACCTTCTGTTGTATCTGTAGCGCTTGTCTATATGATGTCAGTGCACTGTCATTGTCTCCTAGTTTTTGCCGTGCCCATGCTTACTTGGTTAATGGTGCTTCTGTATCTTTATGTTCATCTCCAAGCACACTTTTCCTAATTTCTAGTGCCCTTTTGTGGTACTTTAGTGCCCCCTCATTTCGCCTTTCCTCTTCAGGCTCAAACTAATGTTGTTAATAGTAGTAGCCATGTTAGCATCAGGCTTGCCCTTACGAAAATTTCCTATAGGATTCCTATAGGATCCTATAGGGCACCTTTCCTATAGGATTTCCTATAGGATCCTATAGGAAATTGTTGTAAGTTAAAATCTTGAGAAAAATGCATAACTTATAAACAAATATCATTCTAAACAATAGATATTTGATATAAGTCAATCTTATCAGTTGAATTGTCAATTATATATCACTATTAAAGCAAAAATGCTTTTTATTGTTTGTAATGCACAATCTTATAGTCTTCTATAGGATTCTATAGAAAAATTCTTTAATCTATATTTTAAAGAAATCTTGAAAAATTGATCATTTGTAAAGTAATCTTCTATGGAGAAGTATTTTATCATTAGGAATGATTTTGTACCAAATCACTGAAGCTGAAATTATTTTTTA